CGCAATTTAATAAACCTCTTCTTCGCGAGATTTCCTTTGACGTGTATTTGCCACGATCGAAAAGCTCGGAACAATGGTAATCCACTTAAACGATTGTGTCGGAAAATCTCGCGAAATCGTTGAATTAATAATTCCCTTTTGGTTTGCGTTTAAAATTAAGCAGAAAATTTACGCGTTATCTCTGAAGGATTGCGTTGAATTAAAATCTTATTAGAATTTTTCCAAAGAAAGGTGGGGAATTGTAAATATTCGTACGAGAATCGGCAAGGATTGGAGAGTATCGATCGAGAGGATTGGACCGAGTTTGTTTTCGCGGAGAAAGTTTCGCGAGAAGTCTTTACGAAGTTTGGAACGGTACGTGGATTCGTGGTCTTTCTTATAAATGGATTTTCTTCCTCTCGCGTGACGGACGCTTTTCCGAACGAATCGAACAATTATTAATTACAGTTATAAATTTCTTAACAAAAATCAATTATGATGACTTCTATTATTTTTCTATTAAAAAAAAAAAAAAAGAAAAAGAAAAAGAAAATCCTTCGAGAAAATCCCTCTACAATCTCACTTTGTTCCTTATTCGATCAAAACATCTCCTCTCCCCATATTTATACCTAATAAACAGAACCCTCGACATAATCTTGCGCTCTGTCAAACAACGACAGCGACAAACCGGTTCCCCCTTACCCCATTCACGAACACGACGGACAAATTCAACTTGCACAAATCAATCGGTGCTACTCTTCCCCCGACGATGGCTCGCGTTTTCTTTTTTTTTTTTTTTTCCTTTTTTTCTTTTTTCCCCTCCAGGATTCACGGGCAAACGAGCAGCCGAAAACGGAAGCCGAGCAATTAACCTCGAGGCTCGTGTCATAACACGAGCCTTCTCCCCTCGTGTATGTGTGTGTGTGTGTGTGTGTGTGTATCGTCAGATACGACGGAATCATCGGCGCGTAATCCTGACAAAAGTTTGTTTGCAAGTGCCAGGAGCGGCGCGTGTAACACGTTGACGCAGACACGACGCAGACGACCGCATTTGGCGCGAAACCGGGGTTTCCCAGTAATGACAATCGAGGCGATAAATCAAGAGGGTAAGGTCGCGAGGGGCGAGGGATATATGCGTGGCACGGAGGGTGCAATATGCGGGCTGAGATCCGCGTTAACAAATGTCTCTATTCGCCCGCTACCGTGTTTCTATACGCGGCGACCCCCGATGAGCCGTAAAAATCACGGATTGGGGTAGGTCCTCCAACGGCACGTGGTGCCAATTCTCCAACGGAGACGCCCCGCGATTATCGTGAGAAATGGGAATATTATGTCGCCCTCCTGTTTGATGTTCGCGCCATTTTTGACGGTGTCGAGCTCGTTAAGGATGGAAGTGTCGTTCGGTCGTTGTAAAGGGAAGCGTATGGAGATACAGCATACGTATCGGTTTATTTGCTTACGATTGCTTTGCGTAATTACAATTGAGAGGCTTGAAAAAGTTTTTTCAATTTTTTATCCCTATCCCTATCGTGGATTTAATTTTAATCCATTCGATGTTATATTACAAACGAATGCGTATATTTTTTAATATGCACAGAAAATGTTATCAAAGAATTATTTTTTTACAATTCTTGCTTGGAAATTCACACATTCGTACACGAATAATTTATTTTGTTTCAGTAATTTTCACCTTTCGTCGCGCACGAGCTTATTCACATTTTTATTTGGATATTTAAAAATCAAAAGTTTAGATAACATTTCCCCTAACTAATTCAACACCACTCTAATAAGAGCAATTCCCGAAAGCGGGCAAGATTTTCTCTCTCGATCGAGGTGTGGTCGCATTCTTCGTTCATCCAACCGTTCATTTCCCGAGCTTTCGGCCCTCCCTGTCATCATATTTCGATCCAGGTAGACAGTAACGTTCACCGCACGTGTTCCGTGTTCGTAGAACACGCATTTCGAACACGGATTCCGCTCCGGCCGCGGCACGCAATTTTGTTGCGAATAATTCCGGTTTAAAAACCGTGGCATGCGTGTCCCTTCCAGCCTCCTCCTCGTCCACCACCCCTACCTCCGCGCTCGCGCACGCGCGCGCGCGCGTAGTAGCATAATCCCCACGCTGCCGCTGCTGATCCTGACGAACCGGTTGTCCCTCTTATCTTATTGTATTTGAATAAGTTGCGGACAATAATTTCTACTTTGCGCGCATAAACTATGAACTTAGCGCGAGAGGCCAGCTACAAAGCCGCTTCGCCAAGCAATGGTTTTTTGGGAATCGCTTTTAAAAGGGCCTCCACCTCCACCGAGCTTTCGGATATCGGCTTCGCCGAGAGATATTTTCGTCCACCTCGGATCTAAATGCCACCTCTCTCTCGAAAGATGCATCAAAGGAATTAAGATAAAGCGTGGA